GCATATGCGTTGATTGCGAGGACGAAGGTTATGACTCTAAATATTCTACTTTGAACATATGGAACAAAGTTTACAAAGGCATGAAATAGAGATTGGGAAAGTTTTATGATCTCAGTGTTGTTAATGGTGTTGTCAAATATCAGGTGAAACTGGAATCACTGGTGTAGAATGAATCTAAAAAAAACTACTTTTTCTGAACTCCAGAACTGTAACGTACTTTTCTCGAAGTGCGTTTCACTAACCAAGTTGGAGTCTTTAGGAGATAAGAAAATAGGCCGTTGACTTTTGAGTTGAATCTTGAAATTATACCGGCTTGCCGCACTAAGGCGGAAATCTTAGCCGGACAGATGCAGAAGGCTGTCATTCTTGGCTCACTGCGCTTGCTCAAGGCACATGATTCTCGGACCCAATGATCACTTACCCCACGATGTGGGGAGTGGTTGTTAGTTGATAATGCTGGGGCGCCCTCCCGAACGTATCGGGGCTTCGGGGGATAGAGCCTGACCAGCGCATACTTCGGTATAAAAAAACAATAACATACTTTATTGTCATTAAGAATGAATCTTGTGGACAAAGCTTGTGAAAAATAGGTTACTCAAATTTCTGTTTAATTCAAGTGATTGAAACTGATGAACAATTTGCGTAAATTTCGGTTGAGTTGTGAAACTGGCAACTTTACGATCGTAGTACTTATAACGTCATGAATTGGCGGCACAATAGTCATGTTTGAATGTCTCACGTAATTGAAGGGGTTTCGAACGTCGTTCAATCGAATATTACATAATAATTGCATAGAACAACTAGATATAAATTTCATTTCATGCTTATAAATTGAGATAAATTGATGCGACATCTTCTCCAACGTCTCGTTCTAAGCTCCACCAGCTCCAAATATATCAACAAGAATGATGAACTCATTCGGGTAACGAATGTCTGGCGATCCTGGAGAAACTTTAATCGGCCAGTCCCCGAAATGTCCTCAACGATTCTATTCGAAGTTTCACTTCCTCCGACGAATTCCTCCGAAACTTACTGGATGAAGTAATAGACTTGTTTTGTCGGCTGCTCGGAAGATGTTCCAGAGCAGTTTCCAAACCGCTACTGTAGAAATACGTTACGGTGCACGACACTTTTTGTGTGCATGCATAGCAGAAGAAAGACTTTGGTTTGGTTGTATTCATTATTCAGAAACCAAGTTAGCTTTCCTGATTTCTCCACTTCCTCACTTGTATCGTGACCATATCTGCCGCGGTATAAAAACCTGCGGACCACGGCCAATAATTTCGAAAACATCGTATAATTTTTTAGACACTGGCCATGAAAGCTCTTATGGAAATGGGTTCGTGATTAAAAAGGTCGTATAGCATAAATAATATATATTTTATCTGTGGTTAATTATATGGCAACATAGAAATTTGGATACAAATAGATTAAATTTGACTCTACATAACACATATTGCATTTCAATCACGTTTTCATACTCATATAGTACCAATGATATATGTGAGAGGGAGCTATAGCTTCCCCAAGCGCTTTCATACTACAGCGTTTTCATATTCATAGCGTTTTTTTACTCATTGAGTTTTCTTAACCATGGCATTTTCATTCTCAAAGTGTTTTCATACTTAGAGTACTCATACTCATGATCAAACTCATAGAGAACTCATACTCATGTATGGAATAGAAAGTTATAGCTTTCTCAATCATTTCTCACTCATAGTATTTTTATATTCATGGTGTTTTTTACTCATAGAAAATGAAACTCTCGGGGCGGTATAGCTTCCTCAAGCGTTTTGATACTTGTAGCATTTTCATACTCCTGGCGGGGTACGAATATAATGAATATATTCTGAAAATGAAAATGCTTGAGGAAGTTATAGCATTCTCGAGCGTTTTTATACCCATAGCGTTTTCATACTCAGAGTATAAAAACGCTCGAGGAAGCTATAACATCCTCAGGCTTTTTCATACTCACAGCGTTTTTATATTCATAGAGTTTTCATACTCAGAATATCAGAATGCTTGAGGAAGCTATAGCATCATCAAGAAGTTTCACACTTATAGTACTTTCATACTCACAGCGTGTTCATATAATAGCGTTCCCATATCCATAGCGTTTTCATACTCATAGCGTTTTTATACTAAGATTATTAAAACGCTTGAGAAAGCTATATCATCCTCACGAGTTATCATACTCAAGAGTTTTCATACTCAGCGTATGAACTAGCTATAACATTCTTGAAAGTTTTCATACACATATCGCTGTCATACCCATAGAGTTTTCATACTCGTTGCGTTTTTATACTCAGATTATGAAAACACTTGAGGAAGCTACAGTATCCTCAAGCGTTTTTATACTCATAGTTTTTTCATACTCAGCGTTAGCGTTTTCATACTCAAGAGTATGGACACGCTTGAGAAAGCTATGGCATCCTCAAGCGTTTTTATACCCATAGCGTTTTTATACTCAAGATTATGGATACGCTCGAGGAAGCTATAGTATCCTCAAGCGTTTCCATATCCATAGTGTTTTCATACCTATAGCGTTTTCATACTCAAGAGTATGGACACGCTTGAGAAAGCTATAGCATCTTCAGTGGTTTGCAGACTCATAGCGCTTTCTTACTCAAGAGTATGGACACGCTTGAGAAAGCTATAACATCCTCAAGCGTTTTTATACCCATAGCGTTTTTATACTCAAGATTATGGATACGCTCGAGGAAGCTATAGTATCCTCAATCGTTTCCATATCCATAGTGTTTTCATACCCATAGCGTTTTCATACTCAAGAGTATGGACACGCTTGAGGAAGCTACAGCATCTTCAGTGGTTTGCAGACTCATAGCGCTTTCATACCCATTGCGTTTTCATACTCAGATTATAAAAACGCTCATGGCATTTTTTATTATATCTAAAATCACTGTCGTTTATTTGTACGTCAGTCTTCATTTGTTATCACATGTTTCTCGAGTCGGATTCTTTTTTATTTCGAAAGGAACTCAGTTCGTCTTTTTACAGTGACTTTCACAGTTGTTTGGTAAAATAACAGTTTTGAAAGCATCGTGTTTTCGGTTCTACTATTTTTCGATTCGGTCGAAGACGCAAACAAGGAATAACAAACTTTGGGTAAACACATTCAACTTTGAATGACAAACTTGGAGATTTGCCGTTCTGAGAGAAATAATGAGGTCATTATACACGATCAAAGCTAAACCTTAGTTTCCTAAAAACTAATCTCCCCTGAAAATATACTCCTATATATTTATTTATTGAATGGGTATGACCGATAATTATCGAATGCTAGATCGGGAATTGATTTTGTCCTTATTTGGAAAAAGTTTTAAGAAATCTCAAGACGTTGCAGAACTGAACAGAATTAACTGGACTACAAGAAAACCTCAAGAAAGTGATAAGAAATTGGCAGAAGCAATTAGGTTCGTACCCTTAATGGTTTGATCGATTATTTACAGACATCAGTTTGTGTTCGAAAAATCCTCCGAATTGGATCTAAGTAGGTCGAGTTAACGATAAAAGGAATTAAATTGGTCGACTAGCGATATGCTTTGGGCAATATAATTTTTCTATGGAAATATTATCAAAAAACTTGATGTCAAGATTATTCAAATGGATTTAGTTCAAAACGGCCTATAAGTTGTTGAGTTGATTAAAATATTCTTGTCACTTATGAATGCGTTTGAAAATATTCTGACTAGTTCCAAGGTGCTATTGAATATTCATCGTACCATGATCTTAGAATTCACAATGCCAGGCATTGTTGAATTTTATTTTTTTCATAGATAATATAAAAAAATCATCATATTGCTGAATGAAGGACTGAAAACCCTTGTAATGAGCTATTACACGCATCCTCGTTGTGAAAATTTAAAGTATTATGTTGGAAAAAAAGTCATTTTTGATATAATTTATTCAACTAGGCATTTTATGAACGTCTAATAGACCCACTGACTTTGGACCTATGAACGCACTATATATTTCACCCTGTGATGTTGATTGAACAACGCTAGCGCTGATAAGAGATGATAATAATAGTAATAATACCAAGGTAAAAAAAATGTACACAAAGGAAAATACAATGGGTTTGGTAAAATCCAGAAGCGGAATTTAGGAGACAAGCGTGTGCAACACGCCGAATCCTGCTCTTTCATACAACTCCTTTACAATATACAATAACTTGAATTTTTGCAGTTTATGCGAGACTTTAGTTGCACGATATCTGTTTTTCATACAGCCAGTTACGAGCTTCAGGCTCGTAACTGCCAGTTACATTCTGGTGCGTCTGCTGCAACACGTTAACCAACTCAGGTGCTGTGATTGTCGCACAATATTTCTAGTTTAATTGCTGAGCAAGAACTGCATAGAATGTACAAACTCGACACTTTCAGATTATTCATTCTAGCCGAAAACCTACAGTTTGTAAAAAACTTGATAAAAGATAAGTTACCGTTTTTGCAGGCTTTGTTCAACCCATAGAAATCTACAGGTTGGTCGAGTGTACCAATTTAATCGAAATTAAACGACCTTATGCATTTATTTTTATGATATTTAGTATGTTATAAAAATATCCCCATACTTTTCCGATGTATTAACAAAAACTTCTTTATTTTAGGTTTGAGGAAGCTATTCTATAGCAAAACACGTGTCTCGGATTTTGTAAAACACATTATAGTGAAAATCTTGCGTCAGTAAACTGATGCGAATGTCACCATAAATTATTTTTCAAGTCTGTTGTGGTTCCATAATTAGGAAATGGATCGATTTAGTCTGTTTTGTTATTTTACTCGTATTTTAAAATTAGTCTTGATGTTATCAATATAATTAAGCTGAACTTGGTTTCACCTCTGCTTGTTTTTCATTAAAAGACCAACACTTTATCAAAACAATGATTATTTGGCAGGCTGCTAAAAGATAACCCTGTGATAAGCACAAAACAAATACTCGTTACTTGCAGGTCTCTGTGCTAGTCGTCGAACTATTTCGTCATGACGAAGAACACGTTAGAGAACCTACAAGCCTGGTCAACAATAGTTGCTGACACAGCTGACTACGAGGCCATAAAAAAATTCAAGGTAACAGATGTGACTACAAATCCGTCGATCATTCTACAGGTTGCAACTCTGCCTCGTTACGAACATATTCTGAAAACAGCTGTTAAATTAGGAAAAGAGACTGGAAGAACACTGGAAGAAAGAATTGAAAATGCCTTCGACATGGTCCTTGTGCTCTTTGCGAAAGAGATTCTGAAAATTATTCCTGGAATAGTGCACATTCAAGTGGACTCGAGATTGGCGTTTGACACGGAAAGCTGCATCCAAAGAGCTTTGAAAATCGTGAACCTGTTTGCTAAAAAAGGCATACCAAAAGACAAAGTCATGATAAAAATTCCTGCTACTTGGGAAGGCATTCAAGCAGCCGGAGTCCTGGAGAACAAACACAGGGTGAATTGCAACCTAACAACGATGTTTACTTTGGTACAAGCTGCAGCTGGTGCAGAAGCAGGTGTGACTTGCCTGTCGCCTTTTGTGGGTCTTATCGGGCAGTGGTTCCAAGAGCACGAAGGGGGACCCTTCGTCCAAGACCAACACCCGGGAGTAACTGCCTTAAGTAATATTTACAACTACTTCAAGAAATTCGGATACAATACCAAAGTATTGGGGGCGTATTTCCTGAAAGTGGAAGAGATCAAAGCTGTGGCTGGTTGTGATTTGGTGACAATACCACTCGAACTGCTTGCAGAACTTACTACCAGCAACGATGCTGTGCCTAGAAGAATCGGTGGTGATTCCGCTGTGCCACCATTTGTGGAGAAAATGGAAATTTCCGAGTCTAAATTCAGACAGATGATTGACGAAGATCATATGGCGACAGCTCTTCTTTCTGAGGTGGTGAGAAAATTTTCGACTGACTGCGAAGAGCTGGAGAATATCATCAAGAAGATGTTGGTTGCCTCAGTAGTTGAATAATTCAGTATTCCAAAGTCGAAAATTCGAATTGTTTTTATTCGTGACATGTTGTTCGTTGTTTGGCTTATATCAAAAGAGTATGTAAGATAATCACATAATTATAATCAATTATAATTACAATATGCTGTTGCAAAAATGAGAAGGACATATTCTACGTTGATTTGAATGAGAGATACCTGTTTTTTTTTTTTGAAAAACGTATTGATCATTATTACTATGGGTATTGTGAAATATTTTTTAGAATTATCATTCATTGAGCACGAAATGTCAGTTGGAGAAGCTAAAGAATGTTACACTCATGCTAAAGTAATATACAGGGTGTTCCTTAAACACATGCTAATATTCAAGGAGGTAATTCTTAGACCCATTTTAAGAAAAACACTTCCTATGGACGTATGTCCTAAACGCCTTAACTTTTGAGATACAGGGTNGGATGTTCCTCAATTTCTTGCAGCACCGCTTCCTCAATTTCAGGAGTTCTTACTACACGAGGTCTACCTTCCGGAGTCCCTTTCTTGAAACTACCAGTTTCCCCAAGTCGACGATGAATATTTGAAAAGGTTCGGCTATCTGGTAAGGCACGATTAGGATATCTTTCCTGATAAATGCGCCTGGCTTCTGTTGCATTACCATCGGCACAAGCAATTGCCTGGGCCTGATAGACCCGAAGCGTCCACTGCAGGCTTTTAAACAGATCTGGAGAACATTTGTGTTTTAGATGATTGTTCACGTTCAATGTTTTGGACAAAGATTTCATGCTACGCACGGATTCATGTCCTTGTGGTATTTTTCTGTTTTATTCATTTTCTGATTGGTAGAATTGAAATATGTAATAGTACGAATAAAAAAAAACATTATTATATTATATTATCATATCATATTATTATAGGTGATAAATTGAAAAGTTATGATATAAAATATCACTCCCATTGATCACAGTTATCTTCAATGATATTTTTTGTATTAAAATGGAGAACCAGAGTAAAAAGTAATAGTTGTTAGATAATGGAACTTCATTACTGGAAAATTGAAGTGATTTCCAAGACATGGAAGCTGCAATCCTCCTATTCAAATAAGTATCCTTACATAGGCTCAACTTAATTTCGCATACGATGAAGGATATTCAGATCTACCAGACAATTCCCAAAGAGTCATAAACTGAGTTAGCGTTGACGAAGCGTTCGGGTGTCATGCATATTTTTATAAAACCTTTTTTGCCTCGTAAGCAGACAGCGTGGCAAAAAGAAACCAATAAGGAAATAGACGTCTCAGGAAGCGCCCATCTCACTTCTGAGATGAATAACAAACCTGCATATTCCACACGATGAATCCCAAAGTTATGAAAATAAAGTGCGCGGGACAAGTTTACCCCGGAGGAAATATTTGAACGCGAGAGACATGTGAAAATCCGGAACTCAACCTTTATGACTTGAGACGAGAACATTTCTTTCACGGGGAAAGTATATTATTGATGGGTGTAGATGATGTTCCCATTATTTGATTTTTCGATGTTGTTTTCAGTGAAGAAAACGCCACTTTTTTTAACAGAAATCAAAATGAGGCGAAATACATACGTATACGGTTATGAATATTTAGAAACGCTTTGTTTTTTGATCAAAATGTGGTTTATTCATCAACGTCATCTCCACCAAGAGCCACAATCATTCCGTCACCGTTATAACCTTTCAGTACCGCGTCGAAAGAAGGTATTTTTGTTCTTTTTAGAAAGAAGCGTTTCGTCTGCATCTGCAGTAGACATCTTCAGTGGTGTAGACAATGACTGCAAGAACAAAGTCGATGTAAGGTACCTATGCGGCCGAATAGGTACCTTGTTACGATCGGAGTTTCAGGAGCAGGTTCATTCGTAAGTACAGGGTGTTAATTGAGTATGTTCCACAAATTCAACAGACGATTCTATAGGTAATTTTAAGACGAAATGTTCATGGGTCCATGGGTACATGGGTCAACAGGGTGTTGAAATAAAAAAAAAAGTTATTCGTAAATATCTTAAATATCCTTTACCTAATTTTGTTGTAATTTGGCAATGGTATTTATAATATTAAGGAGCTAATTTAACCCGAAGTGATTCAATTTATTGAGTCCAGTGGCGTCNTTTTTGAGATATGTGTATTTTGTAACAAAAGATCGACGGTTGTCATTGGGAGGCCTGCAACGGTACGAACAGTTCAAATTGAAGAAGCTGTTTCAAATGAAATTGAAGTAAATCCTCATACCAGCGAAAGAACTGAATATTACCCATGTCATAGTGTGGCAGATTTTAAGAGCTATGCAACGTGTGCAAGCTCTGTTGCCCAGATATTTGCCTGTAAGACTAGCTTTTTCTAATTGGTTACGCTGTAAAATAAGAAGAAATCCAGGTTTCCTAAGTCGAATATTGTTTACAGATGAAGCTTGTTTTTCTCGCAATTCAATTAATAACTTCCACAACAATCACATTTGGCTCGAAAACAATCCACACGCCTTGATAGAAAATAATTTTCAAGAACAGTTTTCTTTTAATATTTGGGCTAGAATTGTCGGTGACCATCTCATTGGGCCTCACTTCCTTCCACCTCGTAATGGAGAAGAATACCGAAGGTTTTTAGAATTTGTTTTACCTGGACTTTTAGAAGAAATTCCAGTAATGGAAAGATTCCGTATGCGGTACATGCACGATGGTGCTCCACCACACTTTAGTGTAGTGCCACGCCAGTTTTTGGAACTAAATTACCATAAATGCTGGATTGGGAGAGCAGGCCTACACCCTAGTGTACCTTGGTTCATTTGATATCACTCTAATAGCATAACATCCATAACATCCACTAGATACTCTTTTAGAGTATGGGATACATGTTCTTTAAAATTTAATTCATTGTCTATGTGAATGCCTGAGAATTTAGTGTGCTGTTTGTTTGCTATGTAGTCGTTATTCAAATCTAAATCGTCTAGTATTTATTCGAAAGTAACTAGTTTTGATTTGTTTAGGTTGAAGCACAAGGAATTCGCGTTACACCAGGCTTGAATTTGTTGAATATCTATTTTAATCATATTTGATAGCTGAGTAATTTCTTTATTACTCCATATAATAGTGGTATCTTCAGCAAATACAGTAAATTGTCCTATGATGTTAATGGTTATCAGGTCACTTTCCATATATTAAAAACAACATCGGTCTTAAAACAGACCCCTGAGGCACTCTATGTTTTATGTCACTGAGATCAGACTGATAATTTGATGTTTGAACAACCTGTCGACGTCCTGTCAAATATGAACCAAACCAGTTCAAATTTGTTCCTCTTATCCCATAATGGCTGAGCTCCCGTAGCAGTGTCTTATGATCAACGAAAAAATGGCATCTGTGGCATTTTTCGAACTTTCAAAACCGAACTGAAGGCTAGATAGCACACTGTTCATTGATAAGAAGGACGTTCGTCTTTTTTTCACTGATCTTTCAATAATATTTGAAAGGGTCGATAATGAAGAAATGGGCCTGAAATTTGAGGGGTCTTTCAGATCTCCGCCCTTATGTAATGGAATAACCATAGCTGTTTTCAAACATGTGGGAAATATACCATACCTGAATGATTCATTAATGCATTCAACCAAAACATGTAATGCACTTTGAGGTAGATTTTCAAATATTTCTACAGACACTCCATCCATACCCGCCGAATTTTTATTTTCGATTTCATTGATTTTCTGTATAAGCCCATGTACATGTATAAGCCCAGTCTTATCATAAATTATATGATAAGACTGCTTCAGATCACAGTCATAGTACAAGAAACGGTGATCTTCTAAAAATCCCTCAGCATCTCATGACAAGCTATAAAAAATCCCCTCAGTATAATGCCATTACGTGCTTCAATAAGCTGCCAAATGAAGTTAAAAAAATCACAAGTGACAAGGTATTCCATGNCCGAGTTCATCAGCTGCTCGAGCAGCTGCCCTAAGGAGAAATGCTCCAATTCCTGCTCTCTCATGGTCACGGACCATGCAGAGAAGGGGATCCGAACTCCTGACGACTTTACAGGCTGTATCCAGTACCATTCTGTCATGTAGACACTCCAAACTCAAAAGTCCACGACCTCCCTGTTGTCGGGGGAAGTACAACCGTGGAACGGACGATTTGGGATGCAAACTCCTATAGAGATGCATCATTTTTCGGGTCCTTACGTCGAGTATTATTATTATTATAATTATCTGTAAAAATGAAGTTTTCAACAACATTTATATTTTTAATGTATTTCAAGGGGTCACAGCTGGCTTTTATGTTCTCTTCAAGTTTTTCACCATCAGAGCAATATGAATCATTGAGTTCGTTTGGAGCTAGGTTACTTTTGATGAGATTGGCCTAATTTTATTTCTTATCAAAGAACGTTCCCTGCAAGTGGCCGTCTATGGATATCTGTCGAATACTTTCAAAATCAACGCTGGTGTTCCCCTGGAACACATATTGTCTGCAACCCTCTTTCTATTCATATCGACGACTTATTGAAAAAAAACAAGAATCCAATATATCACTTTGCTCACTTGTCTCATCATTCCATTTGGATTCCAGGCCATCGGTTGCAGATGCACATCTCCAACAGCAGCAGGAGGTTGTATATCTTGATGAGGATCTAGAAGTGATTTCGAATTGGGGTTGATAAGTTTGTTGGAATGGACACCAATATGTCTTGGCACACTCATGTCGCTGGAATTGCAAAGGCTGCTTTTGAAAAGCTCGGAAAACTGTTCCGAACCAGAAAACTGTACACACCTCAGCAACTTTTGATGCTTTATAAAACTCAGATCAGACCTTGTTTAGCTCCGCCCCGAACCTGCTGGAATTCATTCAGAAAAAAGCCACCCACCTGATTGGAGATGCGAACAATACTTGCAACCTTCATAGTCTGGAACATCGTTGAATGGTTGGAGATTTGTCACTCTTTCGTAGATACTTTCACAAAAGGTTTTCAAGTGACTTGCCACATTTGATTCCACCAAGAGCAGTACAT